ACCTGTAACCCTGGCAATGGTAGTGTATACCTGTAACCCTGGTAATGGTAGTGTACACCTGTAACCCTGGCAATGGTAGTATATACCTGTAACCCTAGCAATGGTAGTATATACCTGTAACCCTGGCAATGGTAGTATACACCTGTAACCCTGGCAATGGTAGTGTATACCTGTAACCCTGGCAATGGTAGTGTACACCTGTAACCCTGGTAATGGTAGTGTATAACTGTAACCCTGGCAATGGTAGTGTATACCTGTAACCCTGGCAATGGTAGTATACACCTGTAACCCTGGCAATGGTAGTATACACCTGTAACCCTGGCAATGGTAGTGTACTCCTGTAACACTGGCAATGGTAGTGTATACCTGTAACCCTTGCAATGGTAGTGTATACCTATAACCCTGGCAATGGTAGTGTATATCTGTAACCTTGGCAATGGTAGTGTATACCTGTAACCCTGGCAATGGTAGTGTATACCTGTAACCCTGGCAATGATAGTGTACACCTGTAACCCTGGCAATGGTAGTGTATACCTGTAACCCTGGCAATGGTAGTATAAACCTGTAACCCTGGCAATGGTAGTGTATACCTGTAACCCTGGCAATGGTAGTATACACCTGTAACCCTGGCAATGGTAGTGTACTCCTGTAACACTGGCAATGGTAGTGTATACCTGTAACCCTTGCAATGGTAGTGTATACCTATAACCCTGGCAATGGTAGTGTATATCTGTAACCCTGGCAATGGTAGTGTATACCTGTAACCCTGGCAATGGTAGTGTATACCTGTAACCCTGGCAATGATAGTGTACACCTGTAACCCTAGCATTCCAGAGGCAGAGGCAAAGGATCAGAAGTTCAAGGTCATCGTAAACTATATATTGAGTCCAAGGTAAGTCTGGACTACATGTGATCCTACCTCAAAAAAGAAAAGCAAGCAGGGCGGTGATGGTGCACGCCTTTAATCCCAGTGCTTGGGAGGCAGAGGCAGACGGATTTCTGAGTTTGAGGCTAGCCTTGTCTACAGAGTGAGTTCCAGGACAGCCATGGCTACACAGAAAAACCATGTCTCGGAAAAAAAAAAAAAAAAAAAAAAAAAGGAAAGAAAAGCAAGCAAAGAGCAACACACACACACCAAAAAGAAGGGCGGAGCAGGATGGGCGAGTCTGGAGGGGTAGGACCAAGAGAGAATATATGTATGTACGAAACTGGTGAATAATACATAAAAATGTTCAAAGAAAGAGCAGAAGGTGAAAGAGAAGGGGAGACCCCAGTGATTAGAAGAGCTTGCTGCATAATCATGAACCCAGGCTCAGATCCCACCACTCACCTAACAAAATAAGTGTACCACAAAGTCCTGTAACTCCAGCCCTGAGGGCCCTTTTCTAGCTTGCTTACACACACACACACACACACACACACACACACACACACACACACACA